GGGCTTTTATCTGAACAAACTTTGTAGACACTCACTAGAAGATGTTTCATGCTTAATATCTAAACTCTAGCTATTAAGGTTTTTTCAAAGAAGATTTTTTAGGTTTTTACTATATACATATAGTTAAAAACAATGACACCCCTGGGGCGAGGCAAGTTTTGACCCCGGGGTTTTTATTTGAACAAACTTTGTAGACACTTACTAGAACATGTTTCATGTTTAATATCTAAACTCTAGCAATTTGGGTTTTTTCAAAGAAGATTTTTAAGTTTTTGCTATACACATAAAAGGAAAATCAATGACCCCGGGGCAGGGCCAATTTTGACCCCAGGGCTTTTATCTGAACAAACTTTGTAGACACTCACTAGAAGATGTTTCATGCTTAATATCTAAACTCTAGCTATTTAGGTTTTTTTCTAGTTGTTGCTATACACATAAATTATAAGGAAAATCAATGACCCACGGGGTGGGGCCAATTTTGACCCCAGGGGTTTTATTTGAACAAACTTGGTAAACACCCATTAGAACATTTTTCATGCTAAATATCTTAGCTCTAGCTCTTGAGTTCTTTAAAAGAAGATTTTTTAAGTTTTTACTATATGCATATAAGGAAAATCAATGATCCCCTGGGGCGGGGCCAATTTTGACCCCAGGGCTTTTATTTCAACAAACTTGGTAGACACTCATTAGAACATGTTTCAAGCTAAATATCTTAGCTCTAGCTCTTTTGGTTCTTTAAAAGAAGATTTTTTTTAGTTTTTACTATATGCATATAGGAAAAATCAATGACCCCCTGGGGCGGGGCCAATTTTGACCCCAGGGCTTTTATTTGAACAAACTTTGTAGACACTCACTAGAAGATGTTTCATGCCAAATATCTAAGCTCTAGCTCTTTGGGTTTCTTAAAAGAAGATATTTAAAGTTTTTTCTTTCGGTTGCCATGGCAACCAGAGTTCTGCATGGAATTAAATTCTTTGAACAATTTTTAAAGGTGACCACCAAAGGAACATTTCTGTGAAGTTTGGATGAAATTGGCTTAGTGGTTTATAAGGAGATGTCATTTAAAGTAAAAGTTTACGGACGGACGACGGACGGACGGACGAAAAGCGATCACAAAAGCTCACCCTGTCACTTTGTGACAGGTGAGCTAAAAAGAGGCATTTGAAGAAGAGTTTTATATACATCTATATAGTGTAAACTTTATATTATTTCTGATTAAAACAAAAAGATACATTACAGAATATCTACGACTCATATTTAATACTTTAGTACTTTCCGCTAAGATTTCACCAACCTCAACCTTATGGCATAAAGTTATGCTATTTTCTAAAGAAAAAGTAAACTTAAAACTTAACAGTAACTTAATGAACAACATGCTGATAATTAAAGCATATGCAAATAACTGCAGAACAATATTAAATATTATCATATACGGTATATATAGAAAGAATATACTATTATCTCAGAACTTCTTTTATTCATGTTGGGTTTCCATTCTCTGTAACTATATTTGTTTGGAAATTCAATCATTTTAAATATTTTTTTGCAAATTTGAACCAAAATTCATAAAATCATGAACTAAAACAGCGTACTTAATTTTGACCTCACCTTACCTGTATTTCTTTATATTTGGTATTTCCAATGTGAATGTGCATTCAGATTTCTAGTTCTTAAATATCTTTAAATTACATCACAGTAACGTACTGTCCTATCAAAAGCCAATCAGCAAGGAATAAACGTAAACTAGTCTTTAGGAAATTTATGATAAAAATTCATTTGATTATTTACTCTAAATAAACAAAAGGAAAAAGTTTTTTAGTCCCATATATATAAGTCAGTTAAGGGTATTTAAAAATAATTACATTACGTTTGGGCTAAAGAGGCGAAAAGAAAAGATCTGCTCATGTCTGAGAGATTAGCAAATTAGTTGCACTTCAGAATGCTTTCCCATAATCTTATACTGTTGCTGTAAATAATACAAAAAGTGATCTATAACAAAAGTTTCTGTCAATTTTCATTCACATTTTGGAATGATGAAAATATTTACAGTGTTATATGATGTTTAATTTAATGTGATTCTTTTTAATGCGAACAATTTAAGGTTCTATATTCAATTATTCTCTAAAAGCAATATTACATGTCAGACTTTGCAAACTGAAAATGATACAAATATTAAGAAAAAAAAGAGAGAAATTATCATCGTTTTTTTCAGTAATGGAAGGTTAGCATATGACGTACAAGGGGATTCAGAAAACTGTCGATGTTGGTAAAATGATAATAAATAAACTGTATTTATGATCAACATTATTTTTTGTCCAATCACATTGTAGTATTTTTCAAATTTCTGCTAAGTCTAACTTTGGTTAATGTGTACTAACTAAATATTTACTTAATCTGTCGTCTAACCAGTCAAACAAATTTCAATAATGCATTATATTAGGGAGGAGTTAGAGGTGTGGTTTGCAAAATATCTAGGTTAGCAAAACAATGCCAACGTAAAAAGAAATTAGGCGAGGTCAGGCGTTTCTAAATGTGAGGATACAATCAATTAATTAATTATATAGATAAAACATGTGGGGCTCGCAGAGACAAATGATTACATAGTAACTTTTTATATCCTTTTAACTCTAAGAAACATGTCTGTTATAACTTGCTGACTGTTTTAAACGGAAAAGTAACCAAAACATTATTTTCTTTCACTGCATTAACAATCCTTGATATTAAGAATACAATGATTACATTGTTTGGCTGGAGAACTCATTGAAAATGGACCCCCTCCATCTGTAAACCTAAATCGACACACAGAAAAAAAGAACTTTTTTCAAATGAGCAAATCAATAGGGATTTAAAATGTTAGTGAATAACTTGAAGCTCATAACAAATTTGTATCAGTTAATAATCTCTAAGAATAGGTTAGTGTTTAATAATACGTATTTTTAACATATAATCAGGCACATTTTTTACTGAAATGTCACAGAATTTATACCTTTATCTACAGTAAGACAATCATGTTTTTATAAAATATCTGCGAGGAAAACGATGCAATTAGGTAAAAACAATGGAGTTAATAGAATGTGTACATCCTTTTAAAATAAATGGAAAATGTGAGGAAAATACATTAGAGACTATTAATTGATACAAATTCGTTATTAGCTTCAAGTTATTCATTAGCATTTAAAATCCCTATTGATTTGCTTATTTGAAAAACAGTTCACTTTTTTATCTTTCTGTGTGTCGATTTAGGTTTACAGATGGAGGGGGTCCATTTTCAATTATATTCTTAATATCAAGGATTTTAAATGCAGTTCATTCCTATCAAGTGAAAGAAAATAATGTTTTGGTTACTTTTTCTACAAATTACAAAGTTTAAAACAGTCAGCAATTTATAACAGACATTTGTCTTAGAGTTAAACGGATATAAAAAAGTTACTATGTAATCATTTGTCTCTGCATGCCCCAGATGTATTATCTATGTAATAAATTAAATGATTGTATCCACACATTTAGAAACACCTGACCTCGCCTATTTTTTTACGCTGGCATTGTTTTGCTAACTAGATATTTTACAATTCAGAGTGCAAACCATACCTCTAACTCCTCCCTAATATAATGCATTATTGTAATTTGTAAGACTGGTTAGACGACTGATTTAGTTAGTACACATTAACCAAAGTTAGACTTAGCAGAAATTTGAAAAATAATACAATGTGATTGGACAAAAAAAATAATGTGGATCATTACATTTTCCATTTATTTTAAAGGATGTACACATTTCATTAACACCATTGTTTTTACCTAATTGCATAGTTTTCCTCGCTGTTTTTTCCACATATTTTATAGAAACACCATAGTCTTTACTGTAGATAAAGGTATAAAATCTGTGACATTTCATTAAAAAAATGTGCCTGATTATATGTTGAAAGGGCCATTAATTTAGCTAATCTTAATGTGACATGTAAGAAACTTGACAAGGTGTAGACATCTTGTAGAGCGAAAAGGCGGAGTTATCGGTGATGAGAAATGCCTTGTTTTTGGTTGAAAAAAATAATGTTGATAATTAAATAGGTTAATGTTTAATAATACGCATTAACAAAAATAATTGGTCGCCTGCCTGTGGCAGGCTTGAACAATTATTTTATTAAACACTAACCTATACATAATGTAATGGCGCACGATGGGAACCCATTATCTGTAATTATTTACGTTTGGAAATTCCATACAGGCGACCTCCAATATTTTATTAAAGAAAATTAAAAACTAGACATAGATGCAAACTGCTGTATAGTATTTCGAACTTTATTTACAATAGCTTTCACGAATCATTACCTTAATTATCGTATTCAACTAAAGCAAAACTATCTGCAGAATTACCAACATTTTTGTCACAATGATACATAACACGATAGATTTCAATGCATTTATCATTATGTTAAGTCCTTCAATAGTACTTAGCTTCAGTTAATGACTATGTACGATCAACTGTACTTGACTTACCATATAAAACTAAATATGTAGTAATAAGCATGCTTTGACAAGATGGCATTTGTCCTTGAACTTGTAATTTAGAGATTGAACAAATAACAATGTATTCTATAATACACCTCCTGTTTGTGCATGACGTTTTAATTAACTTAATTGATTTTTTTGTGTGTAAATTTCTCATTTAATTATTACTGTTATCATTATCACTATTCTAGTTTCGTTTTCTCAGAAAACCCCGTATATTGATTCAAATATACATTGAATCGAAACAATAAAACTTACGTCACTATCAAATAGTACTAATTCCAAATCCATCTAACTGGTAAAATATCCGAAAATATGTCTGCGTCAGCTATCCTTTTATCCATTCGTCTACAGTAATTTGGTTCGTCTAATATAATATTCAGGCAAGTTTTATTGAATGATAATATTGAAACGTCAATAAACTGTTTTAAGAAACAATACATCCATGCAAAATTAAAAAATTTATATGTAAAGAATGCACGTTCGTAACTTACTTTGAGGACGAACATCTGTTTGTTTGATTATAATGAGTTGTCTATTTACATTTATTCCAACGTGTCTATTTATAACTTTCCGCTTTGGTTGTCCTTATTGGCTTGCAGCCACGGCTGCAAGCCCATTTGTTTTGGAAAACTTGTTCCGGTTAGGTGGTTTCCTGCTTACATTTGTTAGTGCATGATTGAACGAGAAACCAGCTGCAATCGTGCCAATCGCAACTTTTTGGCCCTTTCCGTCACTCTTCGGTTTAATGATTATAGCCGATGTAGTTCCGATTGCAATCGTGACAATTCGGGCGATTCCGTCATACTGCGGAATCAGACGAAGTAATATTACGGAAATCTAAGCTATTTTAGTTACTTCGGTAATCCCAGTTTGTTTATATAAATAGGATTTCTATTTTTACTTGATTTATCGGTTTAAACCGTAATAAATTATAAACGAAATTGTTACGTTTCAATTCTTTTTCAAGACGCAAAAGTTACTTTTATAATTGTTTTTGTCTGTATTAGTTTTGTATATTAATTAACATATATACCTTATACAATAGAGGATGGTTACGTCTCCAAAGGGTGGTCTTGCTTACCAAATCACAGAGAATATTAGTGCATTATCGAGTTATATTAAGATCTAATGAACGCAGTGAGGTAATCTAAAAATAGCCCATGCATATCATTAACCTTACCGTATCTGTGGTTGTGTAACATAGTTGATACATGCTTATCAATTGGTACCACGTAACGAAGTATTTTAGTGCATTTACTTGTCCATAAAGATGCTATATAAATGAAATTAGCAACTGCCAAAACGAATGATTTCTCTGGAAATGAAATGTGCACACTTGTTTCCTTTTCAGTATGATAGAATAGTTAGTATTTTTATTATTGATTATTTTCTTTATAAGTTTTATACAAAAGAGAATAGATTTCAAATTGTTTTGACAAAAAATATTCGTTTTTACAAAAAAAAAAAAAACAACTAAATAAACACTTTATGAAGGCAAAACTGTGCAAGCCTTTCCTTTTAAAAGGAAACTTTATTTTAACCTTAATATATTTTCTGAAAATAAGAAAACTTATACTTTCACTTTCATTTTAATTAATTTTATTTGGCTGATTAGCGGACATGCTAATATCAAACATATGTAAATATTTGCAGAACAATATAAAATAATTACAAAAATGTATATACAATAAGCTTAATACTCATAAATATAAAATGAATACCATCTATCACAGCAGAATGTGTTTGTTTCATTTTGGGAACCCATTACCTGTAATCCAGACAACTTAACTTTGCCACCAAAAATAGAACCCTTCTTTTGTGTTTCCCATTACCTGCGTTTATTCATATTTGGAATTTCCTATGTGAACATTATAAATACATGTAGGGTTTTTACTTATATTTTCAATTTTTTTTTTTACAAAATGAGCTAAGGCAACACTAAACTGGTTAAAACAGAAGCTCAAGGCAGATTTATCTTTAAAAATATTAAACTTTATTTGTCTTGCCAGTATTTCAATACATTTATTGATCTGTGACATGTGAACATTAACAGTCTAGTTATCCCCCTAAGCAGCATATAATTGTCATGTTTATAGTTCTACACAGGGACAACAAGAAAATTCCCTATAATATTAATTCCTAGGGGCATGATAATCTTTATAGCGGACAATAAGGCTATGCGCAAGTCAAAGAAAGTAAGTTCTAGCTAGCCGATGTAATTACTCAGAAAAAAAAGAGCTTACATTGAAAGTGTATTATTAGCTCCGGTTACCTATTGCATCCGACAGGAACTTCTTCAATAAATTATGTAGAGGGCTACCATTTATTTTCCTTGTAATTGACCTGTCAATGAACTACATGTAGAAATGTCGCCCCCAACCCCATCTCAGTTTTTAACAGAATTTATACACACACAACTTTTTAAAGGGTTGCATAGGAATTGTATGTGTATTTTGGATAAGATAATGTAACATTCCGGACGATGGAGAACTAATGTCAAAAAGCCAGCACTTAGCACACAACAAAGCGTCAGATGAGCCAAAAATTAATTTTCGTGTCCACAAAATTTACCTAACGTTGGAAGCAACGGTTGTAGATATACATGTGCTGTTCCCATTCTTTCATTATTCAAGATAAAAACACAGATATCTTATATTTAGCTCCATGATAAAAACGGTCATATAAATAAAGAAAGACAGCAAATTTACTTGAAAATGTTTTATATAACACATCTTGCACCACAAATAATCATAATGGCATAAACTGTTTACAATATGAAAACAACATAAACTTAACAATAGAATGATTGCTCATTTATAACAATACTGGTCATATCCACCATGTTCTTTATCCTATAATAATCTTAATAATGTACAGTATTCAATAAATAACCACTGATCCCTGGTCTGGTAGATAGCATAATATGATGTTTGTTTGATTTTACGCCTTTTCCCAACAGTATGTCAGTCATATAGGCGGGTAGTTTCCTAACCATCGTTCCTAGACTAAACTACCTTCCTTCGCGCTAAACTACCAAAGCATCTGCTGGGGATCGAACTCACGCCAGAGAGGTAACTGGATTAGAAGTCATCTACTCTAACCCCTCGACTACGGAGGCGGGTTAATCATACATGGTGGTAGTCATATATATGTGTTAAACAATCCTATTAATAATAAAAATGTTTTACATAATTCATAACTTACAGTATCTATTGAAGTCACTGTTTTAACAGTCATTTCAAATCTTGAAATATCAAAGTTTTTCATTCTTGTATGTGTGTTTACCAGGCAATTTCATGAATGTCTTTTTAGAATATGTAATAACTGCAAGACTGTCCGCGGCAGTTAGGCCGGACTGGCCATGGCTTCACCACTTTTTCGACCAATCAGCAGCTTGTAACTTCTTGATATTCAATGTTTAAAGGTTTTATAAGTTTGCTGTTTTATCACAAAAAATTCTTATTGAGAAATTCTGTAACATACATCTATGTTAGTACAATGTATAACAAAGTGAAATGTCACTTACAAAACCAAAAATGTAGTATTACGCTTTTTTACACTATGAATCTTTTTTATCAATTGCTTCAGTTTATATTAAACCGTGACTGTCACCTGATGTTCAGTTTGTTGCATTTGATGAATATCATTCAATGACTACATGTCAGAATTTTACATTTCCTTGTCAAGTCATATACACCAAGTCACCGTCAGTAATGTCATCTAATGTCTCTTAAAAAAATTATTGTGACCTTTTTTCTTATTTACATGTCCAGTCTTTAGCAGATACCCTTTTTATACATACATTACATTATTTTGTAGATTTTAGAAAAAAACTACAATATATATGACAAATGCCATCTTTCAAAGGAGTGTAGGACAAAAGGACTTTTGCCCGCCTAGATAATTTCACAGGAGGGCTTTTGTCTGCCTTGTCATTTTCATGGGAGGACTTTTGTCCGCCTTGTCATTTTTTGACAGGATTGGCTTTAGTCCGAGAGGGCTTTTGTCTGTTTCCCCTTTCAAAGTTCTAGTGTAATATTGCATGTATTCCTAATTAGTAGGAAATGATATACAGAAACGTTTTTATAATAAACCAATTTATATTAAATGGTTTACTTACATCATATTAAGAATGAAAAGAAAGAATTTTTATAAAAAAAAACACACATGGCGAAAATAACAAATAAATTAAAAAGAAAAAGAATAATATAGAGAAAATAAACTGTTGTCATTTCAAAAATAAAACAAACCCTTAACCATTATCACACTACAGATTAAAACTGTTACTATCACTAGCATTTAAAAAATAAAATAAAATATGAAATTGCATTTCTAACATTAAATTTGCATTTTTGCATATGCCAAAAATACTAAATTTAATGTTATCTTTTCTTTTTTATTAATAAAAATTAACAGTCACTTTCATAAGACAAAAGAGAAAAGAATAGATACTGGATAAGGTTGACAGAAAAACTACTTTCAAAAATGACTTTTCACTACAGTTTATGGCACTCATTGTATAAACATATTCATAAAGCATAATTTATAAAATTAAAAAAAAATACATTAATTGTTAAATAACTGTATTAAGTATATATATTACATAATATAATTATCTGAAAGGAATTTCAGAAATGATACATTTTAATTTCCATTTCATCATTTATCCATTGAACAAATATACTGACAAGCACATATTTGTTTTATTCCATCCAAACAACTAGCAATGTTTTAATTGCTTATAAAACATAGGTAAATATAAGTTTATTCATCATAGTAATTTTGAAGATAACAAAAAGTATATTCATATTGCAATCCAAATAAGAAGATACTTCAGTAGTGTTAACCGTTTCAGCCTTGTAATTTGATCATACTTGTGCCAAATAAAAGTCACTGTATATTGATTGAATCTTGTCATGATCTAATGCCATACCTAATGCTATCTGGTGTTAACTTATTAATTTGTAAAATGTACTAAGAAATGAACTACATGTATATCATTATTTTTATAATTCATTTAAAGGCATATCATTATAAGTAGGATAATGTATAGATTTGTGAACATCATGTAAGAATTTTCCCAGATTGTGTTAAAATTAGATGGTAAAAGAAATGTCAATCAGATTTTGACCACATTGGTACAAGTCAGAAATTTGCCTATAAATAAATCTATTATCAATTATCACATTATGCAAGAATATAATTTGGCCCCATAGTTTATCAAATTATGTGAGAATAGATAATTTGACCCCATAGTTTGTAACATTATGTAATAATATATAATTTGGCCCCATAATTTATTACATAATGAAAGAATGTATAATTTGGCCCCATGGTTTGATGTACATGTATATAGTGTCAAAGACAGGAGTAATCCACATCTTCAGGCGTGGCCATTTTGTTTCTCCATTAAGATGTTGTAGCTACATATCCAGGTATGAACGCTATGTTTATACAGGATCTCCCTAGGAAATTCTCTCAATACAGCTGACTCTAATACAGGATTGTCCATTCCTCCTATATAAACAGACAGCCATTCTCCAAGTCTGCAAAAAATCATACACAGTATGTATCTACATCTTATCTTAAATCAACACAATCCAAGAGTATTATTCTTACAAAGCAAAATAATAAAGGTATTTATTATGAAATGTTTTGAGTATAATAGAAAAAAATAGTCTAAAGAAAGCAATAAGTGTTTTAAACTAGATAGGGTAATATAAGATTACTGTTCATGAAATCAAATATAGAATGAATAGTTATCACCAAAACATTTTGACACTACCTTCAATAAAAGTATACAAACATACATACATGTAGTTACCTTAGTGCAATAACGGAATAGGTCCTTCTAAAATTAATAGTAGTTAGTAAGTTTACTGAGTAATTGCACTAAGGTGATGACATGCTTATTCCTAACTTAAATTTAGACCCTGATAAAAATCATACCTATGATTGGTTGTATCAATAAAATCCTCGTCCTCCAGGTTTTGTCTGACAGCCACAACTAACAGAATATACTCATGAAGTATTTCTACCAGCTGACTCAGTTTATCTATTGACAACTTCTTCATATAACCCATGTATTCTGTCATTACCTCTTCTGGCAATTCCTCGTGGAACTCTTTTAAGACACTTTCAAATGTTGACTGGCAAATAAAAGAAATACAGTTATATCTTAGGAAAATAAAATATCACTACAGTGCTTTAGAAATTTATATTATATACCTATCTATCTCTAATAATATCAATTAATTAATATTTAACAGACATTTAGCTATGTTAACGAAGTTTGCTATACCTCTGCATTTTGATCATTGTCCACCATTTTCTTTGATTTCTGTAATGACAGAAGTAACCATAGCCATTGTGCATGTCTTAATTCACATGCCTGCTGGGCCTGAAATGATTATATAAAATACTCTAAAAGCAAACATATTTGGTAAAAAAATATTTTGAATATCTATACTGAACTGACAAGAATTTTTTTAAAAACGACAGCACTGTCTTTAAATGGGCGAAATATTATAGATAACTATATATTCACCTTTTGGCTAAGTATTGTGGTTTTCATTTGAAGTGTATTGCCCATGAATTCATGTAAAGTTTTCTCCGGTTGACCACCTGTAGACTTGAGAAAACTTATTGTAATGTCTAGATTGTCCAGTGATGTACAAATATCTGGTAGCGTCTTTATCTCAGCACATATTTGAGTCTTAACTGCGGCTCCAATTCTTTCCTGTAAACATAATTATACATTAAACTTGATGCTTACTGATATTCAATGTTTATATCTCAATATCCAAAACTAAATAATTCTTAAAAAATAGCAATATATTGTCACCTCAGTGCAGAAATGGGTTAACTCCTATAGAATTATTTATGAAGTTTGCCTGTTACTGCACCAAGGTGACAATATAATGTATAAGATGTTTTACTATGTACAATGACAAACACATTAAACCAGTCTGTCTACAGAAAAAACCCATGACAATTACCCATCCAGGCAATTTCCTGCTTGTTTTTCTTTTTTACAGCTTTCTAATATCTAGGACAGTTACCTCACATTCTGGTCTCACCCTTATAATTGTACCAGTGTACAAAGTTTTAATTATTTTGCTATGGGAATTTCACAAAAATCTATACTAACCTGAGTTATTTTCTCAGCAAGTTTTCTGAAAACTTCAGCATTAGTAAACTCTGTTCTGTATATCATTTGATCAATCTAAAATACAAAATGTGTGATAAAATACAGAAATGTGTGATAAAATTGTATTCCTAACAAAAATACATTTGTAAGTTCTGAGGAAACTGTAAGCCTACAATACCTTAATATGCATGCCATTCATCATTCTAAATTATAACTAAAAAATGCAAACAGTTTTTTTTATACAGTATTTCAACTTAGGCTTCTAATAAACATTAACAATCATTTACTAATTATATATATATTTTTACCATCAACACTCTTCCAACTTCAATTCTTGACTTCGAAAACAAGAATCTGTCCATCAATTGTCTCTCTAAGGCAGCAAAATCATACTCTATCTTTGTCCCTTTACCCATCTCAAATGAATACTGGGGAGGGGTTTGCAAGGGACTTTAAAAGGGGAAAAAGTAAAGCTGGGGGTCCCTAACTGAAATTTGATGTGTTTTTGTCACCTCTTTTGGGTTTACAAATGGATAAAACTAAAAATTGCTGTAAAAATAAAATTTTATATAGGGACTTTTTTTCAAAAAATAGTTTCCTTTTTAAGAAAGATTTATAGCAAATGCCATGACTGGGCCCTTTTTTTAGCCCTAAAAAGGTATGGTCTACATGTTAAACCCCCATTAAAAAAAATCAGAAAAAACCCCCTTTTTCAGGCCCAAAAAGAAAAAAAATAAGAAAATTCCCCCCTTCAGCAACAAAAAACCCCCTGGGGAAATTTTGTAAAGGGCTACCAAAAAAAATGTCACCAGGGACAGTTTCAAACAAAAACTTTTCCAAATTAATTTTAAAAGCAACTGTTTCTTTAAAATTTTTCCCTTTTTTTGCTCGACTGGCCCTCATATTTGATTAACTTTTTTAAAAGGGGCCGCCTTTAAATTTATTCCCGTAAAATTTTATTACTAAATTTGGGTTAATCAGTTTTAGGAAGATTTAAAATTGAGCAATGTTAAACGGACACTGGGCATTCAAGGGTCAAAAATGCTTTTCCCCATTTAAAACATCTGTGCCTTTTTATTACTAAAAAATAATCAATGTTCAAAACCTCCCAGGTAAAAAGTCTTTAAAAATTTTTTTAAATTTTTTTTGTAAAAATATATAAAACAAAAGCAAAAAAATTTTTTACTTTACACTTTACTAAAACATTTAAAAAAATCTTTTTTTTTTCCTTATTTACTCTAATAAAATATGTTGATATAATTCTTTTTAAAAAATAAATCAAAAAAGAAAAAAAAATCTTAAACCCTTTTTGGTTTTCAAAAAATTACCTATGGGGCTTTTTTTTAAGGTATTTTACAAAAAATTTTAAAAAAAACCCAGAAAAACCAAACAATTAATTGTAAAACAATAAGGTTTGTTCCCATTTTTGAAAAGTGTATTAATATTATTTTTGTATTACTTTAAAAAAACCCTAGAAATTTTTAAATTTTCCCCCCTTTATTTTATTGGATCACAAACAAAAAAAAAACCACTTTATTAAAAATAACAATTTATTTATTTTTCAATTAAATTCAAAGAAAAAGGGAGCTGCAAACAAATCATCATTCCAAAAAAATATTCCTTTAAATTTCAAAAAAAAAAAGTTTTGAGAAATTACTAAGGAAAATTGGGAAAATTTAAATTTAAAAAAAACCCTTTACAATTTAAATTTAATTGGAAAAACAAAATCATATAAAAGAATACTTTTAAAAAAGGGGAAGAAAGGGAAAAGTAGGAAAATTAAAAAATTTTTTTTTTTAATTGTTTTTTCCCGTAGCAAGGTCCAAAAATTTTATAAAAAACCAAAAATTGTTAATTTAATAAAAAACTTTTGTTTTTTTTTACAAATGGAAAAAAAAATTATTTAAAAAAGGGTTTTAAATTGTTTTATTTTAAAAAAAAAGTGTTCAATAGATAAAAAAATTTTTACATAATGAGAAAAAAATTAAAATTTTTTAAAAATTTACACAAAGCCCATCAAAAAATTTTGGGTTAATTTATTCTTGCAAAATAACAGTCTCTAAAGGAAATAATTTTAAGGGCCCGGTACAATTATTTAAGGGTCCCCCTTTTAAAATCTCAAGGGCCCCGAAAAAATTTTTAATTTGGGGGCAAAACCAAAAAAAAAAGGAAAACCAAAAAAGAAAAGGAAACCCAATAAAAATACAGTGGAACCTGTTTTATCCCCAACTCAAACAGGAAAAAGAAGAAAAATTTTTGGGTTTTGAAAAGGTTTTTCCCGAAATTTGAGATTTTTTTTTAAACTTTTTTTCAGGGTTATTGGCAGAAATAGTTTTTTTAAAAGGGAAAAAAACGTAATTTCATTTGAAAAATTGAATTTTAATTTTTAAAATTTATTTTTCCCAAAAAATCTTTTTTTACTTTTTATAACAAAAAGTTTAAATTTTTCAAAAAAAGGAAAAAAATTTAAAAATAAAAAAAAGAATTAAAAGAAAAAAAATTTTTTTGTTTCCTTTTTAAAGGCTAAATTTAAACCTTTTTTGATGCCCAAAAAAAGGAAGGGTGGGGACATAATTAAATAACATAAACCACAATTTGGGGAAAATTTTGGGTTTTCTGGAAATCCGATTCAGCCCCATTATAAAAAATTTACTGGACAAAATTTTTCCTTTAAATTTCCGGGTTTTACTTAAATTTACATAGTTCATCTGTCCTCTATGCTCCAATTTACAACCTGATTGGTAATGATCATGGGAGATTTGGCACATTCATATATTTCAATAATAAATTATCATATCATGTCACTAGAGATGAAATACAATTATATAATCAACTTCACTATATAATAGTATTAATGATCGTATGGCCGGCAAGCCCAAAGGGACATATATTATCACGAGCCACTCTGTCTATGGACATAATACAGCACTATGCGAGATTCACAATTTTAATATTCATCCAGCATATAATCAAGCGAAATTAGTCTTAATCAGTTAGGGTGATGTTTACACCGGCAAGAGTGCGATGCATTGTTATTTTTGAAAAGTAGGTTGACCATTTGGCAAAAATCTGTTCGGATTCAAGAGGTTAAGTTTAAGTAAATTTAAGAACAAAATTTTTTTTTTAAAAAATCATCCGGGAATTCGGAAAGGTTTTTTTAACTATTGAAAATAGAACGAATAAAATCGGGACCTGACACTTCGTTTGGATAAGAAAGGATTCCGGATAAGAAGGGTTCGGATTAGCAAGGCTCCACTGTACATTATGCCAATAAAAATAATGGCAGTCATAATAAAGCACTTAGCATTTGTGCTTGTGACTTTTTTACTTGCCAGGATCAAGGTTTGATCATTTCTTATTTGGTGATTATGAAATAATTCATATTTCTGATCATGACCAAATATATTTAAGTTGATAATATTGTTCTGTAAAATAAGTTTTTTTAGATGTTCAACTTGGTATTTCTTAATTATACTTACCATATAAAATTAATGATTCTCTGACTAATTCCCATGCATCTGCAAAATCTTGTATCAATCATTGTTTTTCCATAACCAGCTATTCCTCTATTTAAAATATACAACATCAGTCATTTCAGAGAAACTGGTCTTGTTATAAAGTTGATCTATCTCTTAAAGTGATTCATACTTTTATGACTGAAGGTCTAACCCAGTCTCACCTTGCTTAATGACTATCAACTCTAAAACATTCAAACAGTAATAACTCAATCATAAAGCTTAGTTTTACAGATTTGCCACTTTACTATGAAGGCTAAATAACTAGAAAATGTATTATTTTTTTTATACATACCTCTCTTTTTAGTTGAGCAACATTATATGTGGATGCCTCAGCTTTGTCTAGTTTTTCTCTGGTATTTTGGAACAAAGCTCGATGTAGAACGTAAAATACTGGGAAAAAATGTAACGTTAGACTTCAATGATGATCCTGAAATGGAACATTTCATTTACATTTACTTGTCCAAGGTGTTAAACCACTCAGCCACGCCACCCAAAGGATTTGAGATACCCATTACTTTTTTCCTCTAAAATGTTTCTGCTATCATATTCAGTTACAAGGATTGAATAAATTTTACTTTTTTTTTTCATTCTTCTATATGGCACAGTAAAAGTAAAAAACATTGTAAAATATGGTGCAGTATACGTAACAATAAATTTTGTAAAACATTGTACCTCTTAAGGATAAAGTTTAGAACTTATGTTCGTTAAAGATACTTAGCTTAAAACTTCTGTCAAAGTTTGTAAGAATTAGGTTTTAAATAACGCCAAGACCTTGGAAGCCCTTCAGAATTGCTGGATTTCTTTCTCACATTATGTCTTTCATAAGTAGACATAGTAAAGGGTTTGCTCCTTAACGAAAAATAAATTTTTTCTATATTTCACTGCAATGAAATAGAAACTATATAAACTTTTTTTTCTGTTCATTTGTTTGATAAGAAACATTAGGATTTCCCAGAAGTGACCAATATGGGAGTAATATACAGTATATGAATGATACGATTTAGACTGTTTTCTGTTAATATGGAAACTTTTCTCACTAACAGTGACAATATCTAAATAAACATTTATTTTCATGAATTAAAATATGAAAAAATCTTACATAAATGAAGTACATATATGTACATATTCATTATAATAAGGAGAAACAATTATCTTAATCTTACACCATTTTAGATAAACCTAATCAAAAACCCTGTTAGAGTTATGGACCTTGGTTAGTGACCTCTTACAATGCTCTCATATAAATGTGGAAAGTGTAAACTCATTTTTCCCTTCTGTAGATGTTTGGAAATAAATCCTGCAAATATTACCCAAAACTTGCAAAAAAACTTAACTAACTTTTAACCCAAGACTTAAAGTGTGATCTCATGCCTGGTTTTGTTCAATTAAGCTCTCCCTATTCTTCGAATAGTTTAGGCTAATAAAAACATGCTGAAAATCAAGTAAACTAATACTAGAACATCATTTTCAGTCAAAAGCAAAGTCTACATTATAAAAGTTGAATGTAGTGTGTGAAAGATTTCCTATAAATTTTACAATAAGAAAAAACCTAATCTAACTTTTACAATAAGAACAAACCTAATTTGTGGTCTTGAACTAGAAGCTGGTTGTTATGTTTCAAGATATTTTCAATGTTCTGAAAAAACAACAATTTATATAGAAACATATTATATAAATATAATAATTTTATATATGTATGAATACTTCTGAATAATAATAAAATCATGGATTTAAACAAAGATTAGATTAAATAAATACTGCAATAGTGGATTATATAATTGAATGATTATAGGTTCTTATTATTGAACAAGTTGAATTAATTTAGAAATGAAGCTTATTAATCGCACATACAAATAAGAACAGTTTAGGATTAAAAGAATCACTTTTTCATTGACACGTCTATAATAT